ACAGCACGCTTGATCTTGCTTCTAGGGAACGAGTCGGACAGAAACTGAGTAAATTCACGCCGACCAGATAGCGAAGCCTTAAATCAGAAACAATTTACATACAAGATAAAAAAAAGAGAGAAAGGATTTCAATGGCTTAAGCTGAAATAATAAATGTCCTAAAACCCTAATTGCACATAGGGAAGAAGACGATGCCCTCTACGTTGCTAAAACTCTTAAAAAATGATAAATGCAAATGGAGTTCTTTTTCCTTGAAAAAAGACTAACTTTACTCTTATACGTTACTAAATGTACCCTTGCCTAATAGTTTCCTCCATACATATATCCACATCAAAACTCATTTTCACATTCTTAATGCATAAATTAACACAATTTTAACATAAAAAAAAGTGCAACTAACAGTCCCCATTTTCTATTTAATTGGATCCGACTGATGTCATTTAAAGGAGACGACTAAATTGACATCATGTCTATTTTATTGGGTATTGGAAGGTTCTTCTTCTTAACTATTCCAAAGCTCGAAACTAGTAGGTCAATATGGTTTAATTAAAAGAACTCAGTCAATCAGTTTAATAAGGACTAACCCTAGAAATAAAATGAGTGTACTAAAAGAACTCAATTAATACAACCTCTCATGTAGATACATACATGAAAAGATCGTATGAAAATAAAATGTTATTTAGATTACACAAGTTAAATTAATTCATATAAACATAACTAAATGTATTTTAATAATTATAATAGTTAGTGTTGTTTCTTGACATGTTAAATATGAGATTTTGAACATAAATCTGGATATTTTAGAGCTCAAATTTACCTGTACTTAGGATGCAAACTATAGTCAAAATGGTTATAAGATAAATTTATTAATTGTTTGATTTTAGGTTCAAATTATCAATGGTCTTAAGTTCAGTCTTAAATTTGTTAATCATTTAGGTTTAGCCAAAAACATCACATGTCAACCATACCAAAATTTGTCTGGCTTGCCTGCTCGCCGAAACTCATGGTTTCAAAACAAGTCTGATAACATATACCCTATATGTTATATTTTTTCTTAAGTATCAGGGTTCCCTAATTGTTATGAAAAACAATTCATAACAATTAGGAAACCCTAATACTTAAGATAAAAGATAACATAAGTTACTTATAAGGCAACATTTTTCCCCAACACAACCAAAGTGGAATCTCACAATCCATCCCCTAGAGAGCCCAAAAGCTGGTTCTAGTGCCATATGTAATAACACAAATCAACCGTTTCAGGTATTGTTTGTTTTGTTCCACACCAAAACTCAATGTTTTAAAAAACACCTGATGGAGAAGGTATCAAGACTTTCAAAATGCAATCTTTGTTTCCTTCTTCAACCAATGTAGGATCTTATATAACTTATTTTTGTTTTTAACATATATTATCAGTTATGCAATATAATAAAAAAATTGGTTTTAACAAAGAATACAAAAAGATAGGAATGTCTCGGATAATAGTTAATCATACATATGTCTAGTATTAATGCATACAAAGTCATGTAAACGAAAAAAAGTAAAAAAATAAGGTTTATACACAATAAGGTTCTTGTATAAAGAGAAAAAGATTCTCATAAGGAGCCTCTACTTTCATTTTTTTTACTTGTAAAAACCTTACATTTGAGATGCACTTTAAACTTAAAAACAAAAAATGCTATTGTAATTTTTATATATCAAAATCAAGTCAATTCCTACATTTAAAATGAACAAAGTTGGTATTAACATTGATAAGTGCAAAAATATCATCGGTATGAACATATTTAACAATGAACCAAGATGAAATTAGCCCAATCATAAAATAAATAATACATCAAATAACAATCAGATCATAATAATCAAATACTTCAACTAAAAAACCATTTACTAAATATTTACCCAATAAGCACTTATAAAGTCATAAATGAATAAGACAATGGCCATCCATTTACTAAACACTTATTCAATAAGCACTTGTAAAAACACAAATGAATAAGACAATAACCATCCATTTACTAAACATTTATTCAATAAATACTAATCAAGTAACAAATGAATAAGACAATGACCATGATTCTTAACGAACAAGTTAAGATGACAGACTCATCTACAATTAAGATTACCAGATAAATTGTTCCTTACAATACAATTTTAATTTAATAAACACGAATTTTACTTAATAAAATAACTAAAAGCCTTAGATTCTTATTGGTAAAAATGTGTAGATAAACGGCCTCTAAATCTCATTTCAACCGTATCGAGTTTAAACCAAATTCATTTATATGCAGATTCAATAATAGAACCAATAAGTTAAAATTGACAGCTTAATTGTAAAAATTGACTCACCATTTACATAACAAATTCATAAGATTCAACGTTTTCAATTTAACTGTTCTAACGTATGATTTTCAAAATAATAAACAGAGTGAAATATAAAAAGAATAACATCAAAAATAGGAAGCARTCTATATGCAGATGGAGGAAGATAAGGCTCAGTCCCTTAGATGTTCATAATGTTGCGATCATGCTCGCAAATCATTACAGGTCTGTATTGACTCATCACCGCCTATCATTCTCCAAAACATTGTACTCAATAAAATCCGATAAAAAAAACATAAGGCAATGAAGGTATCATACTTTGTRTACAATGTAGCTGCACTRTTGATCTCAAACGAAGATCGAAGGAGATTTAAAAGTTTAGAACAGCACGCTTGATCTTGCTTCTAGGGAACGAGTCGGACAGAAACTGAGTAAATTCACGCCGACCAGATAGCGAAGCCTTAAATCAGAAACAATTACATACAAGATGAAAAGAGAGAGAGGATTCAATGGCTTAAGCTGAAATATAAAATAACCTAAAACCCTAATTGGAGATGGGGAAGAAGACGGTGCGCTCTGAGTTTATAGAGAGAGTGAACCAATCGCATCCAACGCCTTACAGGTACGGCCAGAGATGGACGGCTAAGATTTTAATAAGTCCTTTAACCCTAATTACCAGTTCTGCGGCCTAAGGCCCTGTCGTAATTTGGGCCTGCATTTTATTCCTATTTTTTATTTTCTAGGGTTTATCCAAGAAGGAATAAAAAATCTTCTTGTAGTTACGGAAATTCAAATGCGGTGTTTCCAGACTATCTGCAAAGCAGATGATCATTTTGGGATTAGTCGGCTCGTATAGCGGATTGGATATCCAGATTAATCAAAAAAATAATAATAATAAAGTTGTTTGTATAGATTAATTTGTCTGTACAGATTGGAAAAAAAATTGTTGGAAATGATTTTTTTTTTCATAGATCAAATAAGCGTGTTTTTTAAATGTGATTAACATATTTGGAAAAAAAAAACTTGGCTTTGTGCATAAATCTTCTCTTACAAACTTACTAAATAAGTCATTTTCTATGAATAAATCATTACCAAACATTCATGTGTAGTTGATCGAGCAAGTCTTGAGGCTCATTAAGTTTATTAAGATGCTAACAAGCAGACCATGAACTATTTATGCTCAAGGTTCAAAACAGCGTGAGGCGCGCGCGTGACACCAAGGTAAAGCCTCAAGGCTTACACATCACGGTGATGACGCGCTTTTTTCAAGGATGACATAAGATGGTAAATTTGTATGTCATAAAATTATATTTTTATACATATGTTTTCTATATTATCAAATCAAATAGTCTTATTTAAAAATGTACATTCATATTAGACGAAGAAAAACGTATAGATTATGACTATAATAATAGTTTTTTTGATTAAATATTTGCAATAGAACTTGTAAAAGTAATTGTTACAACTTCATTTTAATTGTGAATACATTACGTAAATGAACTCGTTGAGGTGTGAGGTTCCAACTGAGTTATTTGAAGGTCTAAGGGGCCGTTTACTTAAACACTTACCTGTTAAAGCGCTTAACAGTAAAATTCAACTTTATCGCTTACATATCGGGTAATATTTTAGTTTACCAAAACGACATCGTACATAATAATTTACCCGGTAAGTGCTAATCATGGTAAAAATCGTCGCCACCACTTATTGAGTAAGACTCTCGGTCCTTGCATTCGCTCTTACCATACAAGATTCTTGGTTCTTGTCATATTCATCCGGTAAAAGAATTTTGACTTGGTAAGTGCTTACCCGAATGATTTTGGTAAACGGCCCCTAAGTTCTTATATTGGCTTACCAGAATGTATATTGTACTCTATGTAGTAGGTTGACTCATAAGAAACTTAATTAATGTTTTCTTACTGTGAAACACTTTTATTGAGCTGTTTAATAATCATTACAAGTAATTATACATAAACATAACTTAATAAACCTTCATTTTTGAATTCATGTAACTAACTGCAGACAAACATAATGATATACTGAATAAATATCTCATTTTAAATATAAAAAAAATCTAGAAAATATAATTATGATAATCATTGAGTTCTAACATAATACTTAATTATTATTTTTATAAAAAATTATATTATTAAACTAAAAATAAATTGTTTCGCTAGTAAACATAAATTAAATTATAATAAAAAACGATTTAAAGAAATTACACAAAAAATGTGAACTTTTAAATAGTTAATTTGATACTTGTATCAGTATGTATTTTTCAAAATTTTAATTATAATATCTTCAAATTTATATTTTATTAAAAAATAAAACCATATAAAATTGTATTATACTGATAAACACAAAGAATATAAACGAAACAATAAAATCAAGATATTTCTCAATGTATTATGCAGGTACCCTTCTAGTAATTTTAAACACGTAAGTTGGTTATCCATCTTCTTTGAACGCTGAGCTTGGTGCAACATAGTCTTACAAGCTTAGTAACCAAACTTATACACTATTACCCCAATAAAAGAAGTATAATACCTCTTATGTAATTGTTAGTTTTATTTGTATGTTCTCATTTTGATTTTAGTTCGTTTAAATACAATCACGTAGTTAGATTGTAAAATAATGTACCCAAGTTTCAACTCGCATGAGTTTGAGTTGGATTAAAAAAAATTCATATCCCAAACATAGAGTTGCGTTGTTCAAATGCCTTTAACTCGACCAATCCAACCAGTATACAACCGTTGATGCTAAATGGATCAGATCGGTGATCTTAGAGGAGTGTGAGCTTGAGTCAAGGTGGTTCTCGTCCATGGCCATGATTCATGAATATATACAATCAGACTTGTCAAATTATATTATCGTGCAATTATGCAAGAACTTAATTAAATGGTTGTCTTTTTCTTATATATACCTTGATTACCACTGCATGAGTGATTTTTATAAATGTATACAGATTGCAGTTACAATGGTATTTAGCTTATTTACTAAGCTCTCCATGAAGTTCTTAAATTATGTGCGCTATTTTAATGGGGTTTTCTCCTTGAATCTAGGATTATTTTTTATGAAATTTAGAATATCGATTAACATATATTTGTTTTACGATATCTTTTTTCATTTAAAATTAAGATTTAAATATTGTATTAATAATATATATATAAGTATTATTATTTATGAAACAAAAAAATATTTAACTTTAATTTTTATTGTAACTTACAAAAAAATGTTATATTTGTTTTTTTGACGACTAAATATATGGAATAATAATAATATAAAAATATTTGATAAAATTAATTATAATTCTAGATAATCAATTATTAATACTATTTAACAATTTACGATTAAAATTAATTAATTGTTTGAAATTAATGTTACTTAATAATTTATACAATTCAAATTAATTAATAATGTCTAATTAATATATATTAATTATTAATAATAATTAATGTTAATCAGGGTTATAATTGAAAAAAATGAGAGTAAGCTTTTTTTTGTAAGGGTGTCCGGGCCAAAGCCCGACTAATCCCCGACAATTTTGGAGGTTAAACATGACCCTTCTTAAATGTCGTCAACACTCCCCTCCCAGGGCTCGAACTCGGGTTCATGACTATGTCATGCTCAAGCCTTACCACTAGGCTGGAAGGTCTTTGACGAGAGTAAGCTCTTTATAAGCTACTATAACTAGTTTTTTAGTAAGCTAGCTTATATATTCATCCAAACATGTACTCAAAAAATAAGTTAGCTTATAAACTAGTTTAGATTGACCAACAATGTTTAAATCCCACTAATCAATAAAATCACACAATTGTATATTGATTTGTTGCTCATATGAAAGTCTTCTCTATTTTGTCCAACCATATACGAGAATCTCGTTGGGATTACAAATTAAGTTGTTTGCTTACTTTTTAATAGTTTCATTAAATGACAACATCTGAATCATTAAGAGGTGAATTTTGTTTGACAAAAAAAAAAAGTCTGCCTTTTAATGGTTCTAAAACCATATGAATGATTTTGTATCATGAACCTCCCTTAACTATTAAGCGCCTTGATTTCATTGTAAACAATTACCAACCAATTATATTTCATTTTGCAGTGTATCATGAAAATCTCTTAATCATTTTGACCACTTAATCATTCTACACCAAACTATTCAGCAACGACCAAACAAACCCGTAAATGGTTAGTGTGGCATTCGCAAAAACATATATAGGACGTGTCGCAAACCAAGAAAAACTCTCCTGAATTACTTACACGTAGACGTATAAAATCTGAAAACAAATAAAATATAATTAATATGAAAATTTTATTTAAATGAAAAATATTATTTTGTATTTTTTATTTATATAATAAACAAAAAGATGGTTGAATGGGTGAAGGTCCATATAGAAGGGGTGGAAACTCATTTCATTTCTCGCATCGCATCGCATCTGTTTGCTCATTGCTGCAAGCGAAGCCATGTGTGGGATACTGGCGGTGTTGGGTTGCTCCGATGATTCACAGGCTAAAAGGGCTCGAGTCCTTCAACTCTCTCGCAGGCAACCGTCCTTATTCCCCTTTCGTTATATTTTTATTTTTAAACCTCACATATTTGGAAGTGAACTGTAAAATAGGTTCGATTCATTTAGTGACTCATATATAATACTATTCGGTAAGAGAAAAGACAAGGATAGAAAGGCTTATTTGGCCGACATTTACCATTAATTTTTGATGATCGAGAATGTTATCTTATAAAGTAAATGAAAATTGTGGCTTTTGCATGTAAGTGTTTACATGGTAAATTGAATGGTTAAAGGAGACCCAAAATACAAAATCATTTAGATGGTGGATTTTAGATACATTAAGTAACAGACTTTAGTTTTGCCAAATAAGATTTATCTCTTAGCGATTCAGAGTTTGCCTCTTAATGGAACTACTAAGAGGTAAACAAACAATTCATTAGAACGGAAAAAAACCAAATATCTATTATATATATTAATATTAGGGGTGAGTATAGGTGGGTACCCGCCCTTTTTGACCGGAACCGGAACCACCGGGAACCGGTTCCGGTTTCGGGTACCCGCTTCCTTAAATATTAAAATTTTGTTATTTAGAAATAAAAAATAAAACATTGTCAAACACTAAATAAATAAGCAAGAATACAAATTATACAGAATAATGGTTACAAATATTGTTTAATGATTACAAACCATAATAGACTAATAGAAAATGTTCAAAGTTTAACGATTACATACTATAATGGTAAATGTTCAAAGTTTAACGATTACATACTATAATGGTAAATGTTCAAAGTTTAACGATTACATACTATGAATCCAAGTGAACACATAATTTGAAAAAATACAAATCATTTTATATGAAGAATTTAGATGAAGAATGAAGAGAACGATGTGCTTTCAAGATGTAAACCTAATATAAATTTGGTATTAAAAAATAATAATTATTTTTTTATTGAAAAATACCGGGTACCCGGCGGGTAACGGTTCCAAAAAATTAAGAACTGGAACCGGAACCATTCTCAATCGGTTCCGTATTTTAGGAACCGGAACCACTCATATCGGTTCCGGTTCCAGAACCGGCGGTTCCAAGGCAGTTCCGGTTCCATAGTCGAATACCCGGTTCTGATGCTCACCTCTAATTAATATCAATGAAATATCTACATGAAGGATAAGGAGATTTGGGAAAAAAAATTTGTTTATCATGAAAGAGAAATAGTTTTTTATTAATAAGAAACCTTTAAATTATTTGAAATTAAAAATATATTTTATAGAGAAATAATATTTTAACAAGAGGTTTTGAGATTGTTTATTTGAAATAACTTATGTTTTTCTAAAAGATACTTATCAACTTATTATAAGTTAGAAGAGTTTAACTTCTTCAAAAACTTCTTATTACCGATTTGGCACCAGTATAAATTGGTTATCCAAACACTAAAAAATATTTATTACCGATGTCATACCAAAACAAGTCGATAAGTTATTTTTATAAATAATCTCAAACACCCCCTAAATATATATAATACTTTAAGTAGTTGGTGTTGAATGTATTTTGGTTAAGATTTGGAAGTTTGATTCTCATTATTACATCAAGAATCTTATCCGATAAAAGATACAACAACGACCGGTATTTTTGATATTACATACAACATACTACATGCATGCCATATTACGTTTATTTATTCTTACAATAATATATTTTTGTTATTTATTGCTCGTTCAGACACCCACGGTAATTCAAGATTATCGAACATTTAACTTAAACGGTATGTTATTAACTGTAATAATATAGGCTAAAACATCGTGGTCCCGACTGGAGCGGTTTTTACCAGCATGACGATTGCTATATATCTCATCAACGGCTCGCCATCGTCGATCCAGCTTCCGGTGATCAACCTCTCTACAACGAAGATAAAAGTATCGTTGTAACGGTAACTTTCCTTTTTGTGTTATTGTTCGAGAAAAGTGACATATGGTTGATAATTCCCGTTTGAAATACAGGTAAACGGTGAGATATATAACCATGAGGACCTCCGTAGTTGTTTACCGGGCCATAAATTTAAAACCGGTAGCGATTGTGAAGTTATCGCACATCTTGTACGTGAGTCCTTTATTTTATTTTGTCCCTTAAAATCACGGCTTTTAGAGTTCTTGTGCGCGGTCTCGTATTTATTATCGGCTTTACTTTCCGATGTATGTCTTGTAGTACGAGGAGTACGGAGAGAACTTTGTCGACATGTTAGACGGGATGTTTTCTTTTGTTTTACTTGATACCCACGATAACAGCTTCATTTCTGCTCGTGACGCTATCGGGATCACGTCGCTCTACATCGGTTGGGGACTCGATGGTAACCGTTAAATGATTTCACACACCATATTTTGATTCGATAACGCTAATTTTTGAATGTTTTTCTTTAACTAGGTTCGGTCTGGATTTCATCGGAACTGAAAGGTTTAAACGACGAATGTGAGCATTTCGAGGTATTTCCGCCCGGACACTTGAACTCGAGCAAATTAGGTGGCTTTAAGAGGTGGTACAACCCTCCATGGTTCTCGGAGACGATTCCATTAACTCCATACGATTCTATTGCTCTAAGACGCGCTCTAGAAGACGTAAGAGTTCTAAATTACGTTTCTTTCTTTTTACAAGTACACAATATTTACACACGATAAATACTAACGCACACTCCTCACCTCACCTCTGGTTACCGCTGGGTCAATGACCTTCTGGTTCGTTTCTAATCATTCACGAACATATGTTACCTTGAAAAATAATGAAAGTGTTTGCATAAACTGTAGGCCGTGATCAAAAGGCTAATGACGGATGTACCCTTCGGAGTTCTCCTATCGGGAGGTTTGGACTCGTCGTTGGTTGCATCGATTATGGCTCGTCATTTGTCCGGTACAAAAGCTGCCAAACAATGGGGAGCTCAACTTCATTCCTTTTCAATTGGTCTAGAGGTAACCTTATTCTTATCACTCTACTATTAGCAATGAGGGTACATTTCGTATGCAGAACTCGACGGGATAAGACATAACAAAAACTTGTCCCGTGTTTGACATGATATTTGGGCTAAAAGTTGATTACCAACAATTCTAACCGACCCCACGCAAGACCTGTCTCCGAGGACACCAATGTGAGAGGACATTTTTTAGCTCACTATGGAGTTGAGGCTAGCGGGGGGTCTAGGACCGAACCCAAAACCTGTCCCGTCATGTCCGGTCTCCTCAATGATGGTAGTTGGTACTCTGGACAACTGCACATCTAACCGAGACTGGCTTGGTTTAAATCTTTTCTTTAAAATATATAATATTTATATACGACAAATACTTGTGTTCACATCTTTGATGAGATATGGATTTTTGAAAGGGTTCACCCGATTTAAGGGCTGCAATAGAAGTAGCCGATTACTTGGGTACGGTTCATCACGAGTTTCACTTCGGGGTCCAGGTACAGTTATATGCATCCCTATTGTCACACCGTATGTGTACTATATGCAAGTGATGGTTGCTGAAAATTTGTATTCTTACTTGATCACGACACCGAAGGATGGTATTGATGCGATAGAAGATGTAATTTACCATATCGAAACATACGATGTGACAACGGTGAGGGCAAGCACTCCGATGTTTCTAATGGCACGCAAGATCAAGTCCCTCGGAGTGAAAATGGTGATATCGGGTGAAGGCGCTGATGAGATATTTGGCGGGTATTTATACTTCCATAAGGCACCCAATAAGGAAGAGTTCCATCGCGAGACTTGTCGCAAGGTATTCGATTTATGTTATCATTTACTGATCCTAACACACTTTTGCACAAGCGAGAGCTTTTCACATAAACAACTACTCTAGCTACTTTTTGGAGGCCAGAACCCCCTCACAGACCCTGTTTTCGAGCGGGGTATATTAGGTTTGTTTGGTTTAGTGAAAAGATCCAGATTACGAGGGCTAGTAACATGTACGAGATTCTCAGATAAAAGCCATTCATTTATACGATTGCTTGAGAGCGAACAAGTCGACATCCGCTTGGGGATTGGAGCTCCGAGTGCCATTTTTGGATAAAGAGTTCATCAACGTCGTAATGAGTATCGATCCCGAAATGAAAATGGTAAGACATCTTCTTTCTTGATTGATCGAGACTTTTGACGTCACCCGTTTTTATGTCGACAACAAGGTCGTACCCGACACTATAAAAACAAGTTTTTTTTTACACAGATTGATATGGAGAAAAACCGCATTGAAAAGTGGATTCTTCGAAGGGCTTTTGATGATGAAGATCGTCCGTATTTGCCAAAGGTATCGACATTCGATCATCGATCTTGTATTTTTGGGAATTTGATCGCATTGTAAGAAACCAATTCGTTTCTCCGTGCAGCATATTTTGTATAGACAGAAAGAACAATTTAGCGACGGAGTTGGGTATAGCTGGATCGATGGACTAAAAGACCATGCTGAACTTCAGGTAAAATGAACCTCGATTTCCTTAAAAGTCGAGAACAATAACGAGTTATCGACTTTTTGAATCATCGTATTTGATTGTCAATCTAGGTGACCGATAAGATGATGCTTAACGCCACACATATATTTCCTCACAACACACCAATGACGAAAGAAGCATACTATTACCGAATGATCTTTGAACGGTTTTTCCCTCAGGCACGTACTTCATGCACATATTACTTGTACGTTGCGCTCTGTTTTAAGTACCTGGTTGATCGATCTGATCCTTCTTTGTGCTCGTTTCAGAATTCAGCGATCCTAACCGTGCCCGGTGATGCAAGTGTGGCTTGCAGCACCGCTGAAGCTATCAAATGGGATGCCGCTTGGTCTAACCATCTTGATCCTTCCGGAAGGGCGGCTCTAGGAGTTCATCAATCAGATTACGAGCAGCGGCTCGTTCCTGTCAAGAGTACCACAAAGGTGGTTGATAATGGACAGAAGTCGACGATTGATAAAACCGTCACTGAACTCACAATGCGAAGCTAAAATACAACGGTTTGTACCCAAATAAAGTGTCAACTTTTTGTCGATCGATCGTGTATTATGAAACTCGATTGTCAAAATGGTACATTTGGTTATCCAATACCCTAATAAATTACCTATCTCAAGATATCAAATTTTGTTGCGTATTTGTTCCGTTTGTCCGATACAAATCAACCGAGACACCCGCATTTAACTCCAGCAAACCAAAAACGGTTTGCTATAACTGTGGTAAGCCTGGTCACTTTGCATCTGAACGCAAACCGAAACCTGCTTGAGAAATGGCTCCGACCTAAAAGAACAATGCCGTATAAAACAATTGGTTCCAGGTATCGGGCAAGCCAGGAAGGCACCAATGTGTACAATCGGGGGTGTGGTTAGGGTTCGCCTTTTGACCGGTGCTCGTATCGCCGCTGTAGATCGAGGGGTGAGCATCTTTCCTCATAGCCGAAAGAGTCGTGATATCGAGAACGTAAACCGGACTCTGCATTTCCCGGAGGACGGCATCCACCACCTTCTTCTCGTTTGGGTAGACTCCGGAGAAGGCTGAGGCGCTCACCGGAGCTGTCTCACCGTAGCAGTTCTTGGTGGTGGTGGCGGCGCCGCCGCTCCATTCCGATGGGCTGCAAATATGTTATTGTTAGGTATTAAAATGAGCAACAACCATGTGGCAACTCACATGCACACACGTGTACATGCGGGTCCTACATCGTGGGTGGTCGATAGAGGGAAGGTGCATACTCGTAGTGTGTAGGCGAGAAAGACTGGAAAAAGATTCTGGTTTTGGTAGTGTCGATATTAGAATCGACCCATCGAGCCCAGGTCCTTACGGCAGTTTCCATTGCAACCATTCGATCCATATCTTGATACAGCGATCCACCGGATTCCATCATGTCCCACCTGCACCGTATAATTTCCAAGCATTACCGGCCATATCCATCTAGTCAGGGTGGTGTCGGATGATTTTATTGTTGTCTGACCATAAAAATAATTTGTTGACTTATTCAGGTGTGATATTGGTAATAATCATTTTTAGTGTTTGGATAAACAATTTATACCGGTGCCAAACCGGTAATAAAGAGTTATTGAAAAAGTTATACCCTTCTAACTTATAATAAGTTGATAAGTGCTTTTGTAGAAAAATATAAGTCGTTTCAGATAAACAATCCCAACGTCCAAATGACATACCTAACATTATTTCAATTATTAAAATAAAATTGGATTCGTTATAGATCGCAATCATGGTTTTTTTTTTTTGTATTTCACCGAGTAAAAAATTATTATAAGGGCATATTTAATGAGTAACACCAAATTATATACTGTTTTGATATTAAAAAATGTTTACATTAAAAAATCAAAAATATAATTAGGATAATCATTGAGTTCTAACAAAATACTTAATTGTTATCTTTATTAAAAATTATATTATTAAACCACATAAAATCGTATTATACCGACATAGATAAAAAATAAAATGAAACATTGGAATCGAGATATGTCTCAATGCATTGCACGAGTATCCTTCTAATTATATTATAAAATATTTAATAATTTTTTTAAAAGAACGTATTAAATATCACTTAATGTTATCTTGACAGATATCTATATATCAAAGATATAAATTATTATAACATATATACAATTTTTAAAGCTTTATAAGTTTTAGCAATAACAAATCGATCTCAATATCCATATCGATATTTATTTTTTCAATTAATATTTCTTTATATCTTTAATTACATAAAATTTCAATAATATTCTTATATTATTAACTCTATAAATTATATTCACAATGGTTACTATAAATATGTAACACACTCCTTGGTTATTCTTTCGACGTAAAATATATAGGTTATGAAGCGTTTTTAATTAAATATGTAATTATATTAGAATTATTTAAGAAGTAATTATTTTTTAAAAATAAATTGAATAATATAAAAATATAATTTTTTAAAATTTAAAACTTAATATCAATCTAATTTATTTAGGGCAAAATGCACAAAATAACAATTTATTTTCATAATTTTTTTTATTATAACATTGTACTTTCAGTTTTTCTTATTAGCAATGTACTTTTAAACTATTTTTTATTATGACATTGTACTTTGAAAAATTTACCCATTATAGCATTGGGTAACTTTTTGATTTAAATTTACCCATTATACTAGGTTTCCATGCCACCTCATTGTCCACGTAGGCTGTCCACATGTACTATAGTGATGTGACTTTCTTAATACATCATTGTACTTTCAAAATTATTTTATTATAGCATCTTCTAGTTCTTATTAAACATTGTATTTTAAATCTTAATATTTAGATATTTTACATGTTATTTAATAAATATATTAAATGAATTAAAAAAATTCTAAATTATTCATTAATATACCAATATCAATAAAACTAGTAAAACACAACTTATCTCGCTAATATTTATAAAAAAATATATGTTTTTTGAAAAAAAGAAAAGAAGAATTGTTTCTTTTTTACCAAAAAATATTATCTTTTAAGAATATATTATATTTATTAAAAAAAAATTTACTTGACGTATCAATATTAAAAAATTATAGATAACAATTTATTTCGTTAATATTTTAAAGAGAACTTTAAAAGATATGTATTTACTCTAAGAATATTTAATTTGAATGCAACTTAATAAGAAAAAGTAAAAAAAAATATTTTTTTTAGATCATAGCAATGGAAAATAAAAATCACTAATAATAATTTGAAATAGATTTTATTTTAATTTTAGTTAAGTCATCAAAATGATGTGTCATCCACATCACCTCATTAAAGACACACAAACAAAAAAGTCAAAGGGTTAACCTGTTTAAAAGATAACAGGTTACCCATTGCTATTATGGATAGATTTTTTAAAGTACAATGTTTTGATAAAAAATAATTTGAAAGTATATTACTATAATAAAAAAAACAAAAATATAATGTTATAATAAAAAATTTTATAAAAATAAATTACTATTTTATACACTTAACCCATTTATTCAAGTCTCTCTGACAACATGTTTTGGTGTGAAAAGTAAAGAGCCCATCGGGTTTAGTACGAAATTGCAAAAAAGGAGGAGAATATGTATTCTTTAATTTAAACTGTTGAAAAGGCATTAGTGTGAAATGACGATACTAACCCTTGGGTGGAACCGGTATGGCTCCACCAGTGACCGGTGTTGAAAGACAGAACGTCGACGTTTCTCCACGCCTGGGCGTTTGCCGATATGTCCTGCAGTTTAAGAACCCTCCGTCCTCCCACCGCTTCTATGTCCACCAGATACGGCGCTTTGTAATACGACATCGTTACATCGTAATCCTGTTCCATTGTTTTTTTTTTAATCAAAAACACCAACGCGTTTACTGGTGGCATGGGACCCACAATTGAATCAATTATTGAAAGATCTAACGGTTGAGATTACTTACCAAAAACTTAAATGTAGAGAGCGGATATCCTCTGATCATCTGAGTGGCGACACGTGGCACCGATGACCACGTCAGACAAATCAACGACTCCCATTGGTTCCTCCCAAGCGAGTCCCCCACGAACATCACTGTTTTCCCTTTCATCTTCTCCAGAAACACGAGCCCGTTGAACCTGGTCAAACCCACAATCGTATAACCCTTAACGCATAAAGTACAATCACATCTCAAATCAAGACCCATTTCTCCCCTTATCACCGATGGGTAACACCACTTTCAGATTACAGGTCTTAAAGCATTCAATACTAGAGCTGATTTGACTAATAAATAAGGAGAAATACTGACCTGGGGAGCTCACAGTTGACGGGTTTCCAGCGGTACTTGAGGTAATCGGAGTCGGGTCGGCCGTACATTTGGCAATTGAAATCCGGTTCGATAACAGGGCAAGAAGAGGACTGGTAGATCGGGTATGAATCGTCGTGGACCCATGAACCCATGAAGAGGGCACATTGGGATTGATTGGCTTGGAGGATTGGGCGTCGGTGATAAGAGCTATGGTCATGGTTGTGGAGATGGTTAACTAACATGTAACATGAGGATAATAAGGTGAAATGGAAGAATAGAATGAAAATGGAGATGAATTTGGCTGTAGGCGTGACGATAGATAGAAAAGCCATTGGAGAAGATGCTCTGCATCTAGTGGGAAGAAAAAGGGGGACGAATTGAGGAGGGGTTTGTTGTTTTGTTTTGTTTTTTGATTGGGAAGAGTGGGGAAATCAGAAATGGTTTCACGTGTGTCGGGTCGGGTTTGTATAAAAAGTTTAGCTGTTTAGGTATGAAACGTTGCTTTATATCAATATAATAAGAATTTTTATTTTTCATACACTAAGATAGAGTGAATTACATTTTTAGTCCTTCTAGTTGTCATTCCTTATTAAATCTAGTTTTGATTTTTGCTGTGATGGTGGTCTCTGTGACTAACTGTGTTAACAAGATCCGTTAACTGTACAGTATTTTGCTATTTCTTTTTTATTTATTAAATTTTATATTAGAAAAGTAAACATAAATATTGTTGTATTACGTATACCCACCTTGCCCTTTTTCTTTTTCAACTATAGACCTCGTCGGCCATCGTGGGTTCATCGGTTATGTCGCTTTCTCATCCCCTTCTTTGACCTTTTTACAATTCCGACCTCATTCCTAGATACGAGTTTTTTAATAGTCAAACAACATTTTTGACGTCCTTTCTCTTCGCAAGGATATCATTTATATCGCCAACCTTCCACACACACCCACCCACCTACTAGATCTAGGTGTTTTTAATTCTATTAACAAATTAAAACCGAAAGGAATCAATGACTTACTATTGTCTTTGTTTTTCACCTTAATACAACAAGACGAGAACTAAGCTGGTGGTTCTACATGCACCACATCTTGCATATGCATACGTACACACAACCACGATCTTTTTGACACACAGATACAAAGATGGAGATGAATGACGAGTGTATGGGGGAAGAGGTGATGTAGGTGTTCATACAAACACATACATAGGTGAGCACCAAAAATGGTGTGTGTTATTAAAAACCCATATGTATTGAGGAGGCCAGAGAAATAGATGAACAAGTGATGGGACCGACAAGCCCATGGTAGTTGACGAGGTTGGAGAAGAAAGAGGGGTAAACGTAATGTAATAATATATTTTTGTTTAGTTTCATATATAAAATTAAATAAACGAGGAAAATAACAAAATCCTCTAGAGTAAACAAACCTTGTTAACACCGTTAGCCAGATAAACCAAAAGTGAAATAAAGTGGAAACCACAATGATCAAAATTGTAATTAGTTTAAAATATGGACTAAACTTGATAGTGAGTATCAATCACATAGAGGCATTGATGTTGACATGTACGAGGTGAAAATTTCATAGGTTAGGGTCAGGGTCGGAGAATGCATTACCTATCAAATACCCACTCTGTTTCCATCGATGAGTGTATCTAGCCCACTCCAAATTAAATTTAAAAATAAATTTAGGGACTGTTTACCAAACGTTTACTTGGGTAAGTGAACATCAAGTCACATTACCTTACCGGATGAATATGTAATGACCAAAAATCTTACCGGTAAGAGAAAGATAAGGACCAAGAGTCTTACCCGACAAGTGAAAGCGATTACTCTTACCATGGTAAATCCTTACCGGGTAAATTATTACATACAATACCGTTTTAGTGGACTAAAATCTTATCCGGTAAGTAAATGATAGTGTTAAAATTTACTAGTAAACGCTTATCGGGTAAGTGTTTGATAAATGACCCCTTAGTAATAACAACTTTATATTTTTTTCTACTACACTTATACACACAATTGAATTAATTTTAAAACAAAAAATTAGACATGAAAATTTATACTTTACAACTAAAAGGATCCATATTGGTTATATATATAGGAGTAAGTTCACGTGAGACCACTTTTTTTACATTTGAAGCCGAACATTCACAGCAAAAACACTGTAAAAATGTTACATTCATAGTTTTTTGTTGTGAAGTTTCAAATGTAAAATATATGGTCTCATAAAAACAAGCTGATCTCACATGATCGCAAGTCTCTCTATATATAAACTTTAAAAGAACATGATGTTTTTTAAGTTAATTTTTTATAAAAATATATATTATTATGAGGTCGTAAATTGTAATAAACGATAATTCTGTGGTTTCACTTTTGCTAGACAAAAGGGTACGATTGTAAAAAGAATCACACCTTCTACTTATTTACTTATTCATGGCTCACAACCCAACCAAAGGCATGGGTTTGTATATAAATTAATTTATAATTTAATATAAATATTATATTTAAATAAACTTTTTCTATTAAAAAAGAAAAAAGAAAAAAGAAAAGTTAAAACTGAAAATGGCATAAACCAAAACATAGACAAAGGCAAGTATATATATCAAACTTGCTATCAAAGAAGGGATGTCAAAGGCACTTTTTAAATATTAATATTTTATATTTGTAATTATAAATAATAGATAAAATATTTATGAAAATTATAAATTATTATATACCTACGATACGTGTGACATAGGAATATTGTCAATAAGTGTAAATCTATAGAATCACATATAAGGAATACGTTAGCCTCTATTTTCAGTAACCCAGATTAAATCATGTTGATTATAAAATAAATAGAAGGGTATTCGCACAATGCAGCGAGATACATCTCGATTGTAATGTTCTATTTTATTATTTGTCTATGTCGATGTTATAATATGATTTTATGTTTTTTTAAAAAAATAATAATGATTTTATTTTTGAATAAAATATAAATTTAGAAATATCATTAAATTTTGAAAAAAAATATAAAAGTTCTATTTTTTATATAATTTCTTTAAAAAAAATTATTATAATTTAATTTAAGTTTAATAATGAAATAATTTATTTTTAGTTTAATAATATAACATTTTATAAAGATAATAATTCAGCATTCTGTTAGAACTCAATGGTTATCCTAAACATATTTTAGATTTTTTATATTCAAAATGAGATGTTTATTATGTATTTGATTATGTTTATCTGCAGTTAGTTACACGAATTCAGATATTGAGCTTTAATAAGTTATACTTACGCACAATCTACTTGTAATATTAAGTTTTAAGTAACATGCATTAATAAACAGTACTTTATGCATAAAAAGTAGTTTTTAAGAGTTTTTGTCAAATACTTTATAATATAGTATATATATAGATTATTTTTAAAGGATAATTATAAAAATATATATTAAAATATAATTAAGATAATTATAAGATGTTATCTGTAAATATATATAATTATATTAAATTTTAAGATAATTATATAATTTACAGATAATTACATAACCTTATATGAATTATAGTTCATCTATAACTTCAGTGTATACAAGTAAGGTATAAGTTAAAGAAAATTCGTTTTAAAACCCTATAAAAACAATCAAGAAAAGAAAATCTTAATAGCTCGTAAGACGTACAATTTTCTTCGTACAGATCACCAGTTCGAGTCTCCTTAGATTCACTGGAGATTTCTCCGACCGTTAACTTCAACCCCGCAGAATTAATCGAAATACGCACAAACGGATCAACACATCCACATTCCACAATGCCAACCCAAGTGCATTTCCAGGGGCCGAGTGCAAACAAGGTGCTAGGGACGAGCATAACCGCACCCTGATCATGCTACGGTCCAACCCACTCGAGACCACACCTAGGATTACGACTCGAACCCGTATAACTACAAGAAAATTCTGTATCTTGGACATCAAACACAAACTTCTGTTCCTTTTAATTACTTTCATGCCGATCGTAGCAAGCACCAACAAATCCAACAGAAAAAAATACAGCAAAATTCGGGGCTTTACGGGCAGAATCTACTACGAAGAACTAGCTCATACTTTACACAAACTGCTATAGTAATAAACTTTCCTACTTTACATCTAATAATAGAACACCTTAATCACCAACTTACTCTTGTTAAGCCAAAAGTCGAATCGGAAACCTTCTGCTGCTGCTGCTGCTGCTCCTGCTGCTATTTACGATTTTTTCCCAACCCAAAACACGAGTCAGCTCCCGCAAGCAACTATTTTCCTCCGTTGGTAGCATTTCAGATGCCCGTTATTCCCATTGTTTTCCTCTTCCTTCCGGTTTGATGCTTCCATGGAACACTCTACACTTATTTCACTTTGACATTCGATCTGAGTTGGTGGCTTCGCCTACATATCAAAAGTCTGTCAAACAGCAATCGTAAAAGCAACCAATCAACCGTGAATGAAAATCAATGGAAGTTACCGAGACTTCTAGAGGAGCCGCGCTACTGCCATCGTTGTTGTTCTGGTTGCCTCCAGCAGTTCTAGAAAAAATCACGGCGGTCAGAAAAATCACGAGCACAGTATATCCCACCCTCAGGTGGGGTTTGAGGCGTAAGATGTATGCAGACCTGACCTCTATAATACTGATACCAACACTATTTGGCTTTCTTTTACCAAAATAATACGAAATTTCACAATTTGAACTAAAAACGAAGGTTAAAAGCAAAAAGCAACTCACTTATACGAGTACACATAATACAGTCTGTATGAACGGAGCCAATACGAGCCTAAAGAAACCAAGCATACATGAGCCAAGCCCAAACCTGAGTTTTCAAGCTCGGAAACCCATGGGTTGAGAACAAGCCCATCAATTGTTTCACGAGCCAAGCTTTGACTCAAACAAGATCAGGCTCGGTTAACTCAAATACACCCCTAACTTTGACATTTATAACAAAGAAAAGTGACTCAAAGAAGATTCCCTTAATATTTGTCTTTGGATAACTAGCTAACTATGCAACCAATTCAACGAACGAAATTAAGCATGTGGTTTAAATTTTCACTTGCAAGAACTCGGATTAGAGGAAACGGGTTTAGAGACATACTCTAAGGAACATTGATTAACTATCACAGTCTCCTCAAATCTTTCTGCTTGAGATACTTCAGTAACAGCACTGATACCCTCTAAATCTGCGGCATTGCTACCATTAATAGCCGCAAAATTATTCCCTGCATCAATATATACGATTTAGTTTGCTTATGAATCCCTGCATAGTAAACAGGCTCGTTACAGAAAGCACACCTCTCGATATGCTTGATTCCGCAGATGGTAGAGCCCTCACTAACCGTTTTTGGCACATTTGAGTGCCCTGAAAATCAAGAAAAGTGTAGCCCAAAAAGTTCAATTTCTCCGATTCGGTCATCAGGGAGAACCCAAATGATGAGGTCCAAGTGTGTAGCACACTCGGGACGGCAGGCAAAACTAATCTCTCCACTCCTAATTCCACGAGCATCTGGATAAGCCAAAGATAGAAACATTAATCAAAGAAACGAATAATATAAGGGGGAGTTAGTTTCTCATTTAGAACAAATTTATCGGTTTAAACAAGATTTAACCTTTTCAAGCTCGTTCATAAGAGCATGGCACATTCCACATCTACGGTACCGGAACCTTGTACCAATGAGCGGGAGTTCTGCTACCTTTTCTCCATATATCCTTGAAAATTGCAGCAATTATAAATGATAAATATGTCATACAACGAGCCAAATGAAATGAACTCAATAAATCCCACACGGAGGTTGGGTACGGGGAGGGTAAGATGTCTGCCCCGAAGAGTAGAGCGACTGTTTCTATTAACACCCCCAGACTTGTTAAAAGCGTGACAAAGAGAGAGTAAGATACGAAAGAGTTTTGAAAAGTTGGCTAAGGCCTAAGAGTAAGCAATAACATACAAATAGAGGCAGATACAGATAACCTAGCTCGGTTTTACCTTATTGTAGCCGCTGAAACTAGCTCATCGTCTTTCTCGAGAAGAACGGTATAGAATCCCTTAAAGTTCAAACGGTTAAGCTCCGACCTACGGTGAATTTTACATAACTACCACAAGTTAAACTAGATTTTGGTAATATTAAACGTGGTACCAAAAAGAAAACTCAACATAAATAGACATAGAACGGAAAACTTAATCTCACCATCTACAAAAAATAACATCTTCAACTATATCTCTCTGGGTGCGTGGTTCTTTAACTGGCTCAAAACATTCGTGCATCACGCTAATAGCAATATTCAGCTTGCTATAGCTCTCGGTCAATTCCTCCATATCATGATTGGTGCCTTCGGGTTTCTTGTGTTTCAAAATAGTCCATGTCAAATCATCCCTCCCCACTGGAATCGGCTTTCCCAAAAGCTTGTTTATGCCCATAAATATCTGCAAAAGTGTCATGAGCATGTCCGTTAATCAGATATTGTGATTTATATCGGATATGGAGCCTGAATTTATATGCATTACTCAAAATTCACGAGATATAACAAGAATCTCAGCAACAATCATAAATGTACGCAAATTGGTGAAACATGTAAATATCGTGTTTTTGATGCATATATATGTGTAAACCAAACCAAACGAACCCAATAAATCCCATGTGAAATGAGATCTAGGGAAGGTACAATGTATGCACTTTGCCCCAAGTGATAACGACAATGCATATATCTGTGTAAACCAAACCAAACGAACCTAGTGAAATGACTAAAATATCGTTCAAGAATAACAAAATGGGAACAAGGAGAATCTTGTGAACCAAATCCAAACATCATTAACGTCAAGATAATGGACAAACAGGTAACTTCAGTTTGAAACTTCGCCAAAATTGGAAAAGTTGATGGAAATGCTGCAACGATTTTGCAACAGACGGAACAGAAAATTGGCTTAACTGGAACTTAATGATAACTATATATACCTCTTTACATCTCAGACAACAGAACCAATTTACGGGAGGATAACTCTCCAGCTTCATGAAACCTTCTTTCCCTTTTAAGCATCCGATATGATCTGCAAAAAATTTGCACACAAATTAGCAGAATTACAAGTTTAATGCAACAAACCATGAAGAAATTTGAGCCTACATACATCTTCTTTCACACTGTTCACAACTTAGAACGTTACTGTCTGTAGTTTGTTCACAATCAGAACCATATTTGTTCTGGTTACAAATTCGGCAACAACACGAAGGGCAGAACCAATCACCATCCGGGACCTCCTAAACAAACAAAACCAATAGCACCCATGAATATAAACTCCAAGTTTCGTATTAAAAAAGTGTTTATGGTGCGTTTGGTACACTGGACATGACATGACGTAACAGAACAACAACCTGTTGCCCTTTGACGCGACATTAGATTGGGACGGGACAACAATGCAACTTTTCTGTCCCACGAAAATAGATGGAACAAAGATAAGAAAGATGGACATGATTGTAAATTACTAAACTACCCATGTCTAATTAAAACCCTGCATCTAGTCCTATGCCGTTCAGTTTTGTTTGTGTACCAAACGCACCCTTAAAGAATAGAGAATGCTTACCTTTAGTCCTAAGCAATGTGTGTGAAATGAGGATGGACATTGATCACACAAAACTAATTCCCCGCCATAATGACAAACGGAGCATATGTAATCATTGTCGTTTATTATTTGACGCCGACTACCCTTTAATCTACGAGGTTCCGCCATGCACAATCTTGCATTTTGATCGCCTTTAATTTGCAATTGGCAGTCTAGTAAAGACCTTCCATCTTCAAGAAATATGTTAGCTGAAGGTCGTCGATAAGTGCTTCCAGCATGAGATTCAAACTTGGAGACACTAAAAACCGTTTGACAACAGCTGCATTTTATCCCATCACGAGTTACTCGACCTTCTTTCATCGTATGGCCGTCTTTCCGACATCGGTATTGCACTTTTGATCTCGGTACAATGACATTATTATCCATCAACCAAGACAAAACGGTTCGTGGGGTTTGGTGCATTGGAGAAATCTCTTCACGAGCCCTTTTGCTCGACCTTAATACACGGGTTATTGTCGAAGAATTTCCGTTTTCTTCGTCTATTGAGTTCAATAACGATCCATTTTTCTTCACCGCCCGCTTTGTTGATGACAAGGAAGGAGCTGCTTCTATACACAAAACACCGTCCTTTTTCTTGATTATGAGTTTCCCGACCCCTTGGTTTTTACCCTTTTTCACATGCTCGCTTCGACTTTCTCCTTCACTTTGCTCGCTCACGTTTATCTCAGAAGCGTTATAGGACCCGTGACCAAAACTTTCCAAAATATAATGGTTGCATGCTTGCCGAAGAGAATAACACTTTTTTCCGCTTGGTGAGAGGTACACAAACCGTTTACACAACTCATCAGCAAACGACATTACCCATCCAACGGCAAGAAGATGTTTCCTTGCTCGACTCTGCATATCCCTAAACCCGATATCTTTCTTCTTGAATTCAGAATTTCCTTCTAACATCACTGAATAGTAGTCAACCACGGCCTGTGGACAGTATTCAGGTTCAACCTCCAGTAAATCTCGTGGTGGTGGTTTATATGATCCCAAAGAAGTATATTCCGATGAACAGTTGCATAAATCCGCACAGAGAACAGTAAGTGAAAAATAATGCTTTCTGCCAGGGCTAGTGTAACGATATCTAATGCTTTCCGATTTTTTTGAGCCAAAGGGATCTCGTTTGAGCTCAATTTTCCACCCTAAATACAACAAATGTTGTCTAACTTTCACTATCAAAGATCCTGGAGGCTTAGAAGGACCCTTAGTGTACTCATTGTATTGAAAGATTGAATCAGGACAACACTCGGGTTCAAGAACTAGATCACGTTCAGCCACACATAAATCACTCATTTGAGTCCACTGATAACAGATATCTTCAGAACGACTGCTAAGAACTTCATTTTCAGATTTAGTACTCGCTAAATTCGAAAATCCAGGGGGACCAGCATCATCGTCATCGTTGTCATCAAGCTCCTCTTCCAAAGCTACATGATTTGGATCAAAAGGTTCAGCTGCAAGAGATTCAAAGAAAGATGGTTCGATATCTACCATTGAATCAAGAAAACGCTTGTTTATATCCAAGATGTGGCCTCCCTGCTGCAATCTACCAAAAAACTCAGCCATTGTCAACTTGAAATTATCTATGATCACCTCCTTAACGGTTTCTTTCCAAATTTCCCTCATTTGACACGTCCACTCCTTCATTTCCTTCAAAAAACGCTTCTTTATCCTCGCTTCGTACCAAATTTGTTTCACAGATATGAAAAGTGGCCATTTTTCTAGCTCCAGTTCCTCAAGAACCTCAAGAAAAATCCAATCCCCACGAAGCTTCCATTCATCAGAAGCTGCATTCCAATCCCGAGTAAACCTTAGGTTCTCGATTGATACTCTAAGTTCATCACCAACATCTGGAAAGAAAACCGAACGTTTATCAGACATGTCATCATGGTCAAAAATGACACCTTCCCACCACGCATCCTGATGAAACACATCCACACACTGTCCGTAGTGAAGACAATTTCCGTTACAGTTAAACTTAGGGGGCAGCGGCCTTATTCTGCCACGATAATTACGCAACTTAGAAGGAAATTTGCCATTGACCATGGATGTAACTGGGATAGAGTCAACAAATTTATCCGAACCATCATCAAGTAAAATGTGATCGTATTTGACCACACAAATCTGAGTTTTAGCATCGATCACAGTTCCACAATGCCATGAGCCTTCGAACCCCTCTTCAATACTTCTGACCTGAAATAATTTTCGTAATTAAACAGACAAAATTTCTAGCTAAAAAGCAAGTGTTGATGCATAGAGTTACATTGCATGGAATCACAGAGCCAAAAATAGAAAATAAATTAAGAACCCCTAAATTTGTTAGCATTTTATCCATTAATTTAGAATGTAATTACATTTTTGAAGTCGTGAACTGAATCAGACATAAAACCCCAAATTCAGCATCACAGTAATTAGAGTGAGATGGCTTTCCCGATTGAATTCATACCAAGTAAAGAAATAGTTATCAATTGAAATCAAACTAATTAACAATCCGCTTGGAAGAACCCCTCAATTGATCATTACATCGACCACTGATCAGAACCCTCAAACAATCAAGAAAATGAACAACAGATAAGAACACAATGCAGGCGAAATCAAACCATGCAATCAGTCAAACAAGTGATGAACACAAAAATAAAGCAAAACCGAATTAAAAACCCCAAAGAAAACAAGATGTTAAGCAAAACCCAAATGAAAAAACACGCAGATTCCGCTGTATGATGATCAATATACCCAGAAATCGAAAGGATGATGAAAAAGATAAGAAAATAGCTTGAAATGGGGAAGACATTACTTCCACTTTTTGGTTTGTCAGAAGCTTCGGAATCGAGCCGAGTCTCTTGCGTTTTCTTGATCGCTCAGAAATCAGTCCTGCCGCTTCAATGCCATCTGCCATTGATGAGGTTTTGGAAGCTTGAGAGAAAAATTTAGCGTCTTGATCCCCAGTTTGAACGTGTTTGGTGGAGGGTTTTAGTATTTCCACCGAAATCGATTCTTTAAAACCCAAATATTTTGATTTTTGAGATATATTAGGAATTTGCGAAACGTTGTGGCCAAGTAAGAAATAGCCAATTGATGATACTTCACAAAAGGAAAAAAGAGGAAAAGAAATCAGTTTCTTGTATTATTATTTCTTTCTCGATATCCCCACCTCAATACATGCATCTGTTCATGTATATACATATACATATACATATACATATACATATACATATACATATACATGTGTGTATGTATATGTTGCGACTTGCCAACCACATACCAAGCCTTCTTTTTTGCTTTTAAACAACAAAAAAACATCGATTCCTTCATGGTTTTCATCAAATTTTGTATAAATTAATGGTTTTTGAATAATAAGTCCTTGAAATTGGATGATGACAGACAAGATTTTACCCAAACATTAATTAAGCGTGTATTAGCAGATGATATATATATGGGTCCGCGATGCATTGCTACTAGAAATCAAGATAATGTGGTTGGACTTGTCGATAGATTCATAACTTTTAGAACACAACCAATCTCTATTCGAACCCCTTTACTTGTAGGGGCTTATCTTGGATTTGTTAATTACGTTATGGTCGGAGTCCAGCTCATGACGACATGGTCCAATTGGGAGAAGCTGTAGGTGTTATTGCAGGTCAATCTATTACAACGTAGAGACAATCTTTAAAGAAAATAACATTAGATATAATATCGTAATATTTCATTTTTTTATGAAGATGTTATAGTGTTTTAGAATTGGTCGGTTGTCATCAAAGCACCACTGATTATTGTCTATTTTGATGTTATTCACTGCTTTGTTAAAACATATACGTTGATTACCGATTTTGATTTAACGCATTCAATTGTTTGTCGTGTTTTGACTCCAGTAGCTTGTTTAATGTTTTTGGAGCGTTTTCTTTTTTAAAATCACGTTAGATGTTGAATGAACAAGATTATTAATTATTAGTTTTTCTTGTTAATCTTTTATTCAGTTTATCTGATGTATGTTGCCGGGGTTTTTTTAGATCATATTATATGTGAAATATGTACGATTCTTTGTGTATTGATTTAATTGTCTAAAATAATTATCTTGTATTGGGGTCGAAAAAAAGTAACGTTAGAACAATTACGAGTAAGATACATCGGTTGTTGGAAATAAAGCTGGTTTTGCCCGATGCAACCTACAAACCTCATATATGGATGAAAAACTCATAGTTTTAGCAAGAAAGAGACAAGATAGTTTTTCAAACTTTGTGTGAAAACAAAGAACGAGAAATCTAACCCTTGAAGCCAATTTTGGTCGGTACAAGAAGACGGTTGCCGTGGAATGTTATAGATGGTATTAAAGTCGGGAACCGAACTGGTGCAAGTGAGGATGTTGAACTCTCAAGGGGGTGGATTGTAAGATCCTGCATCGGTTGCGGAGAGGAACAAAGATCGTCTTATAAGGGACTGAATACCTCTTCTATCAGACACGTTCAAGAGTGGAGCCAAGATTGAGGATTAGAGGGAGCACCAATTGCATATAATCCATAAACTCTAAGAGCGCTTCAATTCGAACATTTTTTGGCAGCATATGATTTAAACCTTATTAAAGGGCGTTTGCTTAATGCTAATAGATAAAGCGCTTATCGGTTCACTTATGTTATCAAGTGAGCATGACAAAATATGATTACCCAGCAAGAAAGATGACAAACTAAGAATCTTACCTGGTAAATAGGATGGTGACTCTTACCAGGTAAGTGAGAGTGGTGACTCGTACCCACTTGATACTTATCAAGTACGATGGCGGGAAATCTTACTAAGTAAGGTAAATGAGGGTGGTAACTTCAACCTGATAAACACCTGCCTAGTCAACGGCTGATAAACGAACACTAAAAGGGCTAAAATAGCAACACCAAGAGTTTCTAAGGGAGAATCAAACATTTTCTATTTGAAACTACATTAATAGGTTATCAACAAGTTCTAAGTTTCTTTCAATCCTATGTGGGGCCAATTAAACGGATAACGCAAATGCAAATGGGTAAAGCATAAAAGCAACACGAAGTTTATGTGAGAGGCAAGAGATAGAAATGCATAGTTGAAATACTTATAAATAAATAAAAAGTTAAATCGCAGGACGTTTGAGTTGAGCGACGTTTGTCAGTAGAGGCGTTTATGGGGTTACCATCTTTTGGAAGACATTTGTGGTCGCTACGATATCTTGATAAAATGTTATTTAAAAAAAGTGTTAGCTTTAGCGCTTAGTGAGTTCAAACAGTTATAGACTAAAGTAGGCTATAAAATATTAAAATTGAAAATATAGCTTTAATCAAATCAGTTCATGCATTTAAATCGAGTTCACCCTTGGAAGGGCATAAAACATCTTATGATGACGGGAGAGATCCGATTTACCATTGTCAGTGACGAAACACAGAAGTAAACCACATTACTATGTTATATAAGCATATTCTTAAGGATAACCAATCATTAAGCTCAACCACTCCAAGTCTATAGTTTAATGAGTTAACAAGCTCAACTACTACAAATCTTTTGTTTGTGGAATCACCAAGTTCAGCCATATTAGGTCTATATCTTGAGATCTCCAAAATCCAAATTAAGCTCGTGCACTTAGAAATTACATTATATTGGTCAATATAATATGCCCGACTCCAAGAGTCCACACATAATGCCTATGTAGACCCAATGCCTATTTCTACTTACAAATAGGGATTTATCATCCCATACATATCAAATAAACCGACTTCTATGCCTATGAATTCATTACATTATAGTCTAAAGTATATAACCTTCTAGATATGTCAAACCATACCCGATACATCAACTTCTGTATACAAATAGCCCTCAAGTGGGTAAATCCACATTTTACCCATAAAATCAAAGATATGAACATTACAAGTTTAGGTTTCAAAGCTCATCAAATTTTGGATTAATCACCTCTCATGTATGTAAAATCATTTCCCTTTGTCAAAATACATAAAATCCCTGAAATCCCAAATTTGACCTAGTTAGTCCAAAATCAATCAAATGTAAAATATTTGAAATGGAAACTTAGAGGAAGTAAAATACATCATTTTAACACGTATATAGTTTTATAAAAGTGTAAGATGAACTCAAAATGCTAGGTTTTCATGAAAACCTAGAAATCGTGAAAACCTTTGAAGATGCAGTGATAGCTTGAATCTTGAGCCCTAGCTTTGAATCCTGGCTTAAATGATGATTAAACCTCTTAGAATGGTTGGAAAAGTGCAATAAATGCTCCTAAATGTGCAATAGATGAAGAGGGAAGGAATTAAAACAAGAGAGAAAAGAGTTAATAAAGAAATGAGGAGAGAACGTCAATATCAGCCTTAAAAACGTGCAGATGGACCATCACGTGACCTGACCCGTAAATTAGGTCGCGTCGCCGGCTGCCCTAGTATTTCATCAAAATATACAACGTATCTCGCGACATGAGCAGCGACTTAGTCGCACGCCAAGTCACTGGGACCATTATTTTCGTGCGATTTCACTTCTTTCTCCAGATTTCGAGCCCGACAAGAAATACCACTTATAATTTTAAATGGTTTTGATAAAAAAAATGACCTGTGGTCAGAATACAAGGTCAAATCTTAAGATAAACAATAGAAAATTTTGGGCTTTACATAATATCAAAATACGAGCTTTACCCAAAAAGGGGAATCATTATACACTCGTTAATTACATTTGTAAATAAATGGGTTTGAAGCTAACAACCTCCTAATCTAATTATTTACAATTAGGTGTCATGCAAACCATCAAAAAACTATGCCAAAACATGGCATCCCAAATGCTCCCCAACAAGCTATCCATAATTGGCCGGTCAAACTGCTTAGTAACCCATCACTTGAACTTGAGATACATGCCGACAAGAAACAAGAGTTAAGCAAAAAAAACCTAGTGAGTGTGAACACAACACAAACAGTCATAAATAACTGTTTAGTCCCATTTGCAATCCATGCATACCATTTCTTTGGAAACAACAGGGGAGACCCATACCCATTGAGAGTGGCGAGAACACAAAAGCATGTCACTCATCAAACGTAGTCATATAACACTTCGAGCCACAGTGTCTAAGTGCCATAACGACCTATTAGCAAGTTTCACCTCAAGAGTCGGTTGACCTTAGTGTCTTTCTACGAATAACATCTCAAGGCTCACACACACTTAGTGCCTACCTCCAAGGTAGCACCTCAACAATGTGGTTTTTAGTGCCCACCCTTCTGAGTAGTATCTCACGACTCCACCCTCATAACGCCTACTTGGAAGTTCACCCATTCATATATTGTCTAATGGGGATATTCATTTATTCCAAAAAGGGAGATATACCCCAAATCTCATATTGGAATAAGGCTAACAATTACAGTGACCACAAATTAGGTCAACAATTCCAAAAAATACTAATCATACAGAAATCCCAAGACTTTCTACCAAGTTTCATATAACACTTTCCAAATAAAAGTTTTAATCATATAAAGGAGTAGACTTGTGTTCCCAAACGATGACTTCCTTCAAAATGCACAAAATGTCTTCCAAATGAGGGTATATGACCAAATCATCAAATAATGAGATAATACTTATAATAAAGCTTGAAATGAAATCAAAGTAAACATCTTGACATGGATCTAGTTTTACAAAGCATTTTAAACTTAGAGGGCTGTTTACTAAACGCTTATCTGGTAAGTACTTACCGGGTAATTTTCATCACTCGATGAACATGGCAAGGGCCAAGAATCTTATCCAGTAAGGGCAATGATAAGGATGGAGAGTCTTACCCGGTAAGTGAAGGTGACGACTCTTGCACAGGTAAGCGCTTACCAGGTAAATTGTTGTATATGATACGTTTTGATGTACTACAATCTTACCCAATAAAATAAATTATAGTGTTGATTCCTAATGTTAAGCACTTACCGGGTAAGCATTTAGGTAAACGGCCCTTACTTGCTAGGTTTTAGCGAAAACCTAGAAAGACCAAGCAGACCCTAGAAATGGTAAGGAGATCTTGGTGCTTTGACTTCCCGAACTTAATATTCTTTAAAATATTTGTATGTTACTATATTATAAAATATATATTCCATATTTTTTAAAACTCAAGTCTATAATTTATTATTGCATACATAAAACTTTCAAATGTTTTACATTTAAAGACCAGAAACAAAAATCGTTAAACTTCTTTTCTTGGCAACGACCACACTTGAACTGGTCGGTGGTGGCCCACCACGTTCGCAATCAAACAGAGCTTTCTCCTTTATTTTCACATTCTCCATTTGTCTTTTTGTGCTTGTTATCTCTTCAGGAGTCAAATCCAGAATCCTTTCTGGCATCATGTGCCCAAGTAACTAATAAACACATTCAAATACAAGATAAGCATCGAATACTTATTATATGACTAAATGTTTCATAAATTCCAAACATTTTTAAAGAATCATTATATTAATTTTCTATCTTCAATTTATACATTAGATCCACCTATTTTTTTATTTTGTTTTGTAAATATTATTCTTATTTACTACCAACTCATTAACTACATTCTAAAGATTGAACCACAAGGGTGGCACCTGGTTGGTTTGAGTTTGACTCCAAAGGTCAAAAGTACTTGGAGGCCCCAGGTTCAAATCCAATGAGGAATAAAAATCCCCTTGTGGCCACAGATGTTCAAATGCGGTGACTTCGGACTATCTGCAACCAGGTAGTCGTCCTGAGATTAGTCGGCTCACATAGCGGGGTTAGATATCCAGGTTAATAAAAAAAATTGAAATAATACAATCTTTATAAGGATATTTTCTTATAAATAAAATAAGGTTGTTTTTTAAGTATGAGTTTTTTTTTCCTTCTCTCAACAAATTATTATTTCACCATGATAAATGTTATAATATCAATATTTTTCTAACAACGAACTTCTATAAATATGAATTTGTTTTATAACATCAAGTTAATCAACTGGAGTCATCTCTAAGTTGAGAATCACAGTTCCCCTTTCCCTTTGGAAGAACTCTGAATTTAATACTTATCTGGAAAATGTTTTAGTTTTGATAGAGGATTAGACCGAAAGGACTAATCAATTCTTTTCTATACAGTCTTGAAATAGAAGAGTTATATAGATAGCATAGAGCTCTTACACAGCGCCTAATAGGCTAGCTGAACTATACACGCAAATATATAACCAATCTCACCAATTTCATATGCAAGCGACTATATCCCACATGGAACAATGCATAATGTTTGTAAACACACCTGTCATTTACCCGTGACTTATCATTTATGGCCCCTAGTAGATGTTAGTCTGTTGTGTACAAGAAATGCATTCAAGGGACAAAGGAATATTCACTCCCATGGGATCTTAGTTGTCCCATGGTACCCTACTCTCGTTGTGCAAGTTCGACTGACAACTGACCACGTAACCCATGTCTCAACGAGAATTCATGACAACTGATGTACAAAATGCAAGGAACTGCAATCATAGGATCAATATTCAATGATTTAAATGTCACATAGAACCCCATTTACACTTTTAGTAAAATAGTTCAAGAGAATTCACTTGCAGCCCGACACTCCACAAAGAGCTCTAATGGCTAGGAAATCCCAAAACGAACGCCTTAATTAATCGGGCTAAGAAAGGTGTTAAACTCTTATAATTATCAGAGTAATCCCCTTGTATAACCCTTAAACAATACCCCAAACTGGAACCACCACGAGAATTGAAAAAGTCGGAAAATGTACGAAACAGTGGCTTTTACCTTGGCTCGCGACACAAGTCGCTCCACTCACTGTCGCCGCCTACCTGACCCCAAGTTGCGTCTGATGATCCTCATTCAAGCATGAAAATTTGATTTCCAATCCTTAAACTCGAATCAGAGGTTATCCCAAACATAAAACCAAAACAATGAACCTCCAAAATGATTGTAAGTCACATTTATTATTAAATTATTGGTCTTTTGGTTAGTTTTTTTATTTCATATGTGAAGTTATGTATTCAAGTCCTTTATTGTAATTTTTTTACAAACATAATAAATTTGAAATTAAAATTAAAAAAAACTAAGAAAAATAACACAAAAGGGATCGTAGGGAGAAAAGTCATGCAAACCAACTCTATTATTGAAAACTTGTGTAACCATTGTAGTTTCAAAATATATATGATCACACAAAACAAAATGATACGATAACACCTGTCATAACCCTATAAATTTTTACACTACAACAAATGAACAAAATGATAACCCGATTAAAACGGGTCCACCCCTGATTCCAACACCACTTCTTCACCTCTTTAAGAATCGTTTAATAGGAGCATGCATTTTCACTCCTAGAACCCCAAATGAGAGGAGAATTCTCATTAATCCACCAAATTACAATCTCCACCCTTGAAGTATAGAGAAGTTTACAACCCAACCCACAAACTTCCTTAGAAAAAATACATATAAAAAATACAGATATCTGATATCGTGAGAATAACCACATGCTTAGAAAAAATTATTGTCGCAATATGTCATGTTTTAAGATTAGTGGTCGGACAAAATAACCATATATACGAGTAAGTCAGTATTTTGGTCATGTTTTTTTAACAAATACAGATAAATTATTAAATAAAAGATCTTTTCAGATCTTTTACTTTCCATTTGAGAAAAAATGCATCAATTTATGGCTCTGACCGAAAAATATAATACATGTGTTTACTTTTTCTGAAGTTTATAACCTCTCCTTATATTTAGTTCGATCTTCGCAAAACAATCAGCCCCTCTTAAAAAACATTTCTATCTCCTCTTTTCATCACAAAATTATTTATGCTGGTTCTCATCTGATTTCATCTGATTTTTATGTTTTTCTTATTTACATTTGAATCTCAATTACGCCTCTTTCCATCTCTTTGTAAGAGGTAAGAAGAACGTATGTGATCGCTTCTCTTTAAATGTTTTGCAATTTTTCGTATATGATTTCTCGTGATTACTTTCTTTTCTTCTTCCGTTTAGGCATAACCATGCTGATCTTTTAGCAACAAATCAGTTTCGAAATCGAGAAGAACTGTAAAACAAGGTGATTTTTCTCTCTCTCCATTTACGTTCTTTAGTTTGTTTCTCTGTGTTTTTTAATTGCGTCATTGTGGTATCAGTTGTTTTCAAACCGATCTTTGTCATCTGTATCTTCTTCTATGATCTGATATTTTGTTTCATATATCACAACATCTTTTACAGTCTTCTTACACGCTTTACCTCACGGGTATAATACAAAAATTTTAGATCAAACGAAAAGTTTCGAATTTGTCATCATTTACAGATCCACAAATTCTGACAGATCAAAAACCCTGATATCATGTTCATACACGATTCCAGTAACTCTTCCCCGTATCTTTTTCCATAAATATTTGATTTCTTTATTGTTTTATGTATCTTTTAGATCGTTATCATTAAATTTATCATCAAACTTGCCGTTTATTTTAGTTTCCTAAACTACCCCTGAATGAAAACAGAGGGGGCAAAGCAAAGGGAAGAAAAGGTGTGTGGGGATGGCTGTTCCACCTGCAGATGGGAGAAAGGTTCAAGAAGAGGAAGAGGGTGTCGTTAATGGAGGTGAAGATGGTGGTGAGGTGGATTTTGACCCTTCTGCCCCTCCTCCTTTCAGGGTGGCTCAGATCAGAGATGCCATTCCTAAGCATTGTTGGGTCAAGAATCCATGGAGGTCATTCACCTATGTCTTCAGGGACATTTTGGTCATTTCGTCCTTGGTTGCCATGGCTGTCTACCTCAACAACCTTACTTGGGCTTTCTGGCCACTCTATTGGGCTGCTCAGGGCACAATGTTTTGGGCCATCTTTGTTCTTGGTCATGATTGGTACATTTCTTTATATCCTTTTTAAAAAAATATATTATAATAAATAAATTAAATAGAATTTAAAGTAAATTACATTTTTCGTCCCTATGGCTTGTTAATATTTAAGATTTTTACCTGTGGTTTAGAAATGACAGTTTTAGTCCATATGGTTTGCAATTTATTATTATTTTCGTCTATGGATTATTTTCTACCTTTAAGTATAAGGAACCAAAACAGTAAAGAATTATAAACCACGGTGATTGAAACAACAATAAATTATAAATTATAAAAACAAAAATAACAATAAATTACAAACCATAAGGTTGAAAAGACAATTTCTAAATCATAGGGAGAAAAATCGTATTTTTGACAAACCATAAGGATGAAAAACATAACTTACATGTAAATAATATATTCATTTGGTAATTAAATGACAAATTTATTTTTAAAAAAATAATATTTTTATGAAAATTAAAACATGGATTTTATTGAGGGGTATAAATGAAAAAGATATGAAAGTTTAAGGGCTTATTTAATTTAATTTGTTCTTTTTACTTCTTCCAGTACAGTTTACGCTATTTCTAGACCAATCATGCATTAGAAACTTGTACTCATGATTCTGGCAATGTTTTTTTACAGTGGACATGGAAGCTTTTCGGACAGTCCCACTCTTAATCACATTGTGGGCCATCTTTTGCATTCTGCAATTCTTGTTCCCTACCATGGCTGGTACCTTCCGAAATTACACTTCTACCCTTCTTTCCTAATTGTTCTTGGTACAATGTACAAGTTTTTAATGCACGATGTACAACTCTTTACAGGAGGATTAGTCATAGAACTCACCATCAGAATCACGGACATGTTGAGAAGGACGAATCATGGGTTCCGGTAAACTTGTTTTTTTTCTTTTTTGCATTCAAAGTTTCACACATTTTCAAAACCAAATAAATTTCAGTGTCGTCACTTGACATGTTAAATATGAGATTTTGAACAGAGCATCCGAAATTTTGGGACCCAAATTTACATGTGTTTAGGGTCTTTTTATTGACCTGTGTAAAACTATATCCGAAATTATTTAGGTTTAAATCATTAATTATTTGGTTTTATGTTCAAATCATTAATGGTTTAGGTTTTAGTTTCAGATTGTTAATCATTTTTAGGTTTAGCACATTGTTATTCATAACATATATTCTCTGTCATCTCATTTATGCAATGCAATCAAAAGTTTTGAATGTAGCAGGGTCTCCAAAAGTATTAGAACGTCCCTGATAAATTTACGGTAATTCTAAAAAAGTCAAAGCAAACCAAACAGATCTAGTAAATTTCACATAGAACAGAGTCTGAATAGAACAAGATGTATGCAGTCTTACATCTTACATGAAGATAAACGAGACTGTTATTTTCAGGACAGTCGTTACAGTATTATTGATAATAAATTTTCAGGACAGTCGTTACAGTATTATTGATAATAAAATTTTTATAATTTCAGATACCTGAGAAGACTTACAAGAGTTTAGATTCGAGTACAAAGTTTTTCAGATTTAAAATCCCTTTTCCGATGTTTGCATATCCGCTATATCTGGTGAGAACAACCCGTTCGGGTGCGTTATTGACTTGTATAACTGTTACTGGATGATGTTTTTAACAGATTGTTTTTTTACAGTTTAAAAGAAGTCCAGGAAAAAAGGGGTCGCATTTTAATCCGTACAGTGATTTATTCTCACCAAATGAGAGGCATTATATTGTGACCTCTACAATATGTTGGGGAATGATGGTTGCTTTGCTCTTCTACTTGGTCAATCTCATAGGTCCACTCCTCTTGTTCAACCTCTATGGCATTCCTTATTTGGTTAGTTTCTTTGTTTTTTTTTTTCTATTAACCTGCTATACAAGCCGACTAATTTCAGGACGACCACTTGCTTTGCAGATAGCTCAGAGTCACGACATTTGAACCTCTGTGGCCACAAGGGGATTTTTATTCCTCCTTGAATTTGAGTTTCTTTGTTTTAAAATCAAAATCAAATGGTTATTCGTTTATGATCGCCACGTGGACAGAATTTATAAAAAAAATGCCAACAGAATGATGTGCATCAATATGTTTCTTCGCGATCCAAGATACCCTGATCGGTTTTTTGTACCCACGTCATTTTTCTAGGATGTTTTTCCGTTAAAAGATTTTATGCGGCAAAAATTGAATGTCTAAAACAAAAAATGTATTGGACCATTCAAAATGCATCTCTTATGCTTAGCATTTACTACACATTTGTTGATTACCCTTTATTGAATATGACCTACAGTTATATTTTTAATTTTTTTACATTCGAGACTGATATTTTTTAAAATATTGTGATTTACAGATTTTTATAGCATGGCTGGATATAGTAACGTATTTGCATCATCATGGTTATGAGCAGAAGCTTCCTTGGTATCGTGGCAAGGTATTGTTTATAGATGCGTTGTTGAATTGTACAATATAAGTTTTTTTGAAGCAACTAATGACGTGTTTTTCTTTACACGCGTTTAAATTTTTCTACAGGGATTTTACCACGAATCCATTGATTCTATATGATTTATTAYATTACTACCCCTTTACCACTTTATTCGTACATGGAGTCGGGGGAGAATGGAATTTGGTTTTTTATTTTACAAATGGGCATGCTGGATCATACATCTATCCATATATCGGGATAGATAGATTGACCATCACACCCGAGATCTTTGATAGTGACGGTATCCACTCATATGGCCATGTTCATTTACCGATATTTGAGCAGGAATGGAGTTATTTAAGGGGAGGGCTTACAACCGTAGATCGCGACTATGGATTATTCAACAACATCCACCATGATATTGGCACTCATGTCATCCATCATCTCTTCCCTCAAATCCCACATTATCATTTAATCGAAGCAGTAAGTATTGAATAGAAATATGTTGTCACAAGATTCTACAGTCCGTTCATGTCCATCAATCACATGAATATACATCGTTAAAGAGAGAATGTGAACACTAGTTAAATAAAAATCTTATGTGTATTCATGTGATTGGTGGGAAAGAGAATGATGGACAACAGTTTTTTATTAGTACGTATTCATGTAATATGCAAGTCTGATTGTTAAATGACTGTGTATTGTATGGCTCGTGCAGACGAAAGCAGCTAAACCAGTGCTTGGGAAGTACTACCGAGAGCCTAAAAAATCAGGATTAATACCTATACATTTGATAGATAACTTGTTGAGAAGCATTCAACAAGACCATTTTGTTAGTGACGTTGGTGATATAGTTTACTATCAAACAGACGATGAGTTAATTGGAAAAAAGAAAAAATGAAATCCCTAATATCTGTAATTTAATTTTGATAATGTCGTACTATTTAAATTTTATGCAATGTTTTTCTTATTTACTCTTGGTTTCAGTTATTTAAATTTAATTTTTGGTAAATTTTAGTATATACTATAAGGGTACTCGTGCAATGCAGCGAGATACATCTTGATTTTAATATTTTATTTTATTCTTTATCTCAATCGATGTTATAAATGGTCTTATGTGATTTTGAAAAAAACAATGATGTTTTTATTTTTGAATAAAATATAAATTTAAATATATCATAAAAATTTGACAAAAATATATCGATATTAGTATCAAAATTAACTATTTAAAATTCCACATTTTTGTGTAATTTTTTAATTCAATTTTTATATTATAATTTAATTTAGATTCAATAATGAAGTAAGTTATATTTGGTTTAATAATATAATTTTTCTTATAAAGATAATAATTAATTATTTTGTTAGAACTCGATAATTATCCTAATTATATTTTATATTTTAAAATGAGATGTTTATCCTCTATTTGATTATGTTTATCCCCAGTTAGTTATACGAATTCAAACATTAAGCTTTAATAAGATGTACTTACGCACAATTTACTTGTAATCTCAAATTTTAAGTAATATGTATTAATAAACAGTATTTGATGCATAAAGAATGGTTTTTAATTTTTTTTGTCAAATGCTTTATAATATAGTATATATATATATATATATATATATATATATATATACTAGTAACGTACTCGCACGTGATGCCGCGCAAATCATTTTTATTATGAACCCGACAACCCGAAAAGGAGATATTGTTTCAAATTTTGTTTTATTCTCCGTCCCTTTCAATGCTAATTTTATAGTTTGTTGTGATTTTAAATCATAAATCATATGATTTATAAATTCAAAGTTAAAAAATGTTCAGTTGGTCAAAGGTTTTGAAATAATGTTTTTAACCCAAAGCGTTTGTTGTTCTTGTATTTTAAAGATCAACTTATGCATTAATTAGTGGTTTGTAATTTTCACATCGTATTAATTGAAAATAAAATGCAAATTTTATGTTTGAATAAAAATAAGGTAAGCATACTCAAAAACTATATCTGTTTTGATAAAAAATTATTGAGTACCAGAATATTTCAAAAAGATAAACGGATCGCAAAATGAAGCAAATCAATTGGACTCTCATGTTCCATACAGAAACTATTTATGAAAATTAAGTCTGATTTATTCTAACGAAAAGCAATATGGAACATTAATCTGGAAAAATATGGCTTCGTATTAAAAAGATGATTTACCACATAGATTGATTGATGTTCCGCAATAAAAGACCTTTAATAATCAAATCTAAGAATGATAATAAATAGAAACCAATGCTCTAAAAGGCTCAACACAGCAGCCGTTGTGGCTCAAGGCTCATGTATGACACTACGTTAAAGCTTGTGGTATGCATGGGTCCATACGAAATTTTGTAATGTAGTATTTGATTTTTCTTACGTATTTAGTTTCTTCTTAGTGAAGTAATGTATAAAAATATAAAGATGTACCTCCATTTCTTGGATTACGCAACATTTTTATACATGATAGAGGCTTACAAATAGCCTCAAAAGTTATGCTGCTAATAATTATACCATGAACTATTAGGGGCCGTTTACCAAACGCTTACCCAAGTAAGCGCTTACCAAGTCACATTACCATACCGGATGAATATGGCTAAGACCAAAAAACAAACCCGGTAAGAGCGAGACAAGAACCAAGAGTCTTACCCGATAAGTGAGGGCAACGACTCTTACCACGATAAGAGCTTATCGTGTAAATTGTTGCATATGGTACCATTTCGGTGGACTAAAATCTTACCCAGTAAGTAAATAATAGTGTTGAATTTTTACCGATAAGCACTTACCGGATAAGTTTTTGGTAAACGGCCCCTTAGTTAGAAAAATTCAAGCAAACATCAACTAAATTAGTTTAGGTATTGTTTGGAAAAAATAAGCTATCTTATTTGTTCGGTACATCTTTAGATAGACATAAGCTAGTTTATTGATATACTAATTCGAATAGCTTTTTAAGAGCTTATTATCACATTTACCATTATAAGCTTAATTACTATTTTTGCTTTACTATTAATTATTCATAAAATATTAATAAAAATTATTTATTACTAATATTAATAAATATTAAATTCGATTATTAACTACTTTCAATCATACATTAATATTAATTACTTATAATTATTACTGATCATATAAATTATTTTTATATTATTATTTTTTAAACTATTAATCAATAAATTTAATTATTAAAAAATAAACAAATAGTTATAAAAATATTCATGGAAGTTACATAAAAATAAAAAATATTACTTACTTTGTTTCATAGATGATAAAATTGTAGTAAATAAATTTAATAAAATATCTAATTATATTTTTTTTGAAAAAATATTAATTAATTATAATATATGAGGTTGACTAATTTTATTTTTATTTACATCATATGTAATGGTTATTTAAAATCATAAGTTAATGTAGATTTCTTTCTAAAGTTTGTCTTAACAAATTCAAAATTTATAATATATATATAAATCAATTTAAAATTCTTTTAATTAACATATATTAATTAATTTTCTTTAGTACTTTTTTGTATTAATTAACATATTATTTCATTAGGAAATTATTTTAAGTATGTTTTAAAAATTTATAATTGACTAGTTTTTTAAGATGTTTTTTGGTCATTTTATATTTTTCATCTAGCTCATCAGATAGTTTTTGTCAAACGTAATTCATTTATCAATTAGCTTATCAACTATCAACTAATTTGGCAAACATAGTCTTAATATAAAGTTCAATGCACACTTTAGAAATTAAAGACCAATAAAACCAAGTGAAATATATCATGGGAAAACTAACATTGCCAAAAACATTCGATTCAAAGACCAATAAAAACAAGTGAAATATAACATGAGAAAACTAAGGTGACGTTTGTTTTTTGAGAGGTGCTGAAGTCTGAAGTCTGAATTCACTTCTGATTTTTAAGAGGTGGTGCTGAAGTCTGAAATCTGAATCAGTCAGACTGTTTGTTTTTTGCGTATGAAATCTGAACTTTGAAGATGAGAGATCGAGAGTTGATATGGATCGACAATTGACAAAGTTGAGAGATGAGAGATCGAGACAGAAGAGTTGATCCAGAGAAATCGAGTGCAAAGAGATCAGAGTAGGTAGGCGACGATTTGAAATAAGAGGTAATAAGAGGTTTCTCAACCACTGAAATTTTCAGACCTAATAAAGAGCTTTTAAGCTCTTAATTGGAAAAAAAAAAAAAAACAAACACATTGAATCCTCTTATGTCTGACCGATTCAATCTTAAGAGGACATTAAGAGCTTTTTTATTAAAAACAAACAGCCCCTAACATTGCAAAAAACATTGGATCAATTTCCATAATAATCCGTCTCTTTTAAGAGAAAGAGTAACATCTCCAATATGATAACAATAAGAGATTGAAAGTTAAAACTGACATTCTTCATATTCAGTATTTACTTGCAAATCACGTGCCGAATCCATATCATATAAAACCCACAAGCAAAGAGGAAATTAGAAAATCAAAACTTTCTGAAATGAGAAATACGGTAACTTTTTTTGTAAAAAACAGATAAAGATAGTCCATGAAAATAAATATTTTAAAAGATACCTCAAAATGCAGGATTATTTATCAGATTATCCTTCTTCTTAGTTTGCATGACCTCAGTCATGTATTACAAGACGATAACAATGAGGCCTTTCACTCTATTTATGAGAGCAGTTTTTCTAGCAGTATGTGACTGTATTATAACCAATTACAAACAATTAATAATGGTATAATGTGTATTAAATGAAGAAAACACATTTTTAATGTATTTAATTAATATATGATTATGCATTTTTTCATATGGTAAAAAAATGAAAATGTATGGATATAAAACAAATTAATTCGTAGATATTCATGATATTTAATAGAATTATTAAATCTAAAAATATTCAATATTGAGCTCAATCCAAAAATATTGACGAGACGATTAGTTATGATTATTTCATAAAGGTGTAAAATAAAAAATGAAAAAGTAAAGAATATAAAGTAAATCAAATAACTAATTATAAAGATATAAAATGTAATTTTAAAATTGAAAATGATTTGATGGAAGATTCGTATAAGGTTGTAAGTTTTAAGAACTTGTACAATATTTTTAATTAATTATACCTATTAAAAGTTAAAGAATAATGGAAACTCCTACCTTTTAATATAATATAGGGCAAAATGCATAAAATAGCAATCTACTTTCATAAATTTCTTTATTATAGCATTGTACTTTCAGTTTTTCTTATTACAGCAATGTACTTTCAAATTATTTTTTATTAGGACATTGTACTTTGAAAAATTTACCCATTATAGCATTGGGTAACCTTTTGATTTAAATTTACCCATTATACTAGGTTTCCAT